TGTCTGTCCAGCCAGGGATGTGAGTGCATGGAGATTCAGTGACTTAGGGTAAGGCTCATTGGGTGCAGGTCCACTAAATTGTTTTTCTGATCAGGGATGCCAGGTGGACTCGCAAGGAGAAGGTTTGACAGACTGTTTTTACAGCCTGATGTGCCGATGTGTGTCATTTCTGCTTGCCTAGTGTTGGCTTCTCCACTGTGTGTGATCATAGTCAAGACAGTTCTTGGGCCTGGGTTCCAAGTAGCTTGAGTTGCAGTGTTGTACCACCTATATGGGCTTGGTGGAATGACAGTGGAGCCCAAGGCTGGAGAAATACAGTGGCTATTGACATTCAGAACAAGGCATACTTTAGCAGTGGCACTGGTTTGAAGATGGTTCCATGCTGTAGCAGCTTGGATCATAGGGGTTTGGGGAGTGCACAACATGTGTTCCTACTCTGGAATAATGCAGTTGCATGATTTCCAGTAAGTTCCTCAAACTGGGCTCAGGGCTTGTGAAGAATGTGTGGTTGGTGGGGGCCTTCTGGTTACCTTTTCCCTGGAAGGAGAAGTCCCTCCTGGCTATGAGCCAATCCCAATGGGGGAGCATGTCAGCAGAGGTTGGGTGCCTTACTCACCTCTCTGTGCTCCCCCCTTGGGCTTTCATACTCCACAGGGATCTTGCCACTCCTTTGCTGTACTCCAGTGCCCTCTGTCAGACACTGCAGTTGAACATGAGTTGTTTATTCATTGATTTGGTCCTTCATTGTTGGTGGGGAGAAGGACCAGACACCTTTAGTCAACCATATTGCCAACCTAATGAATGGGTTTAACAACAGAGGAGACACAGAAGAAGAAAAGATTAGTGAACTGGAAGATAGTTTCATAAAAAGTCTCCAGATTGAAGCATCGAGTGAAGAAAATAAAAAATTTAGGAAAGAGACATGTGATACATAGTTAAGAAGTTTAATATATGGGAGTTCCATAAGGAGAAGAAAGAGAATGGGGCAAAAGCCAAATATATGAAGATACAGTAAACAAGGATTTTTAAAAACTGGTAAAATATGTCAACTATAGATTTAAGAAACTGTGTTCCTATGTAGGATAAATATTAAAGGAAATCATAAATAGGCACATCATTTTAAGACTCTTAAAAACTGTAGATAGAAAGTTTTAAAAGTGGTCAGAGAAAAAAACAACAGCCTGCCTTTAAAGAAGCAGCAGAAGACTTTTGTCTGGCTTTTAATAAGGAAATACTACATACATCAAACATGGAATAGATCAAGAGAGACAATTTCTTTTACTTGTTGTATACAGCCAGTATAACCTTGAAGCTAAACCTTAACATTATAAGAAAAGAATAATGTACACAGTCTGTCTCAGAAATATAGGCACAAAAATTTTAAAATGTCAGTAAACTGAATCCAGTGATACATACAGAACTTAGTGGCATTTAGTACAGGAAAACTTGGATGGGTCAACCTTTGAAAATTAATGAATTATCTAATAAAAAGAAAAATTATGTGATAATTTCTATTGGTATAAAATTCAACAAGTCGGCCGGGCGCTGTGGCTCACGCCTGTAATCCTAGCTCTTGGGAGGCCGAGGCGGGCGGATTGCTCAAGGTCAGGAGTTCAAAACCAGCCTGAGCAAGAGCGAGACCCCGTCTCTACTATAAATAGAAAGAAATTAATTGGCCAACTGATATATATATAAAAAATTAGCCGGGCATGGTGGCGCATGCCTGTAGTCCCAGCTACCCGGGAGGCTGAGGCAGGAGGATCACTCGAGCCCAGGAGTTTGAGGTTGCTGTGAGCTAGGCTGACGCCACGGCACTCACTCTAGCCTGGGCAACAAAGTGAGACTCTGTCTCAAAAAAAAAAAAAAAAAATTCAACAAGTCATAGTAACTAGTAAAAGAAGAGAACTTCTTAAATCTGATTACTGACAAAAACATCCAACAACAAAATGATATTTAATGGTAAATTATTGAAAGCTTTTCCCTTTGAAAGCAAAAAAAAAAAAAAAAAAGGTGCTTGCTGTTGCCATTTCTATTGAAAATTGTCATGAAAATTCTAGTCAAAGCAATAAGGGAAAAAACTATAAAGATTGGAAAGGGAGGAGATAAATACTCATTCACAGTTTACATGTACATAGGTATCCAAAAGAGTATATAGACAAACTCTTAGAATTAATAAGCAATTATAGCAGAATCTCTGGATGTGAGTTCAATATACATAAATATAGTCTATTTCTATATATCAATAACAAATAATAAATGCTATTTATCGAAAGATGCCATAGGTAATGTCATAAAAAAATCATTGGATACCCAGGATTAAGTCTAAAGAAAGTTGTGTAAGATATCTATACTTAAAACTACAAAATATTATTAAAAGAAAATAAAGAAGACCTAAATAAATTGAAGATATGTTATGTTCATGAATGGAAAGACTCAATATTGTAAAGATGTCAGATTTTCCCATTGTGTGTGTAGATAAAATACAATACCAATAATAACTCATTGCACTACATATTTATATTCATATACTTTTCCTCATGTATGTTACAGTTCAACAAAAATTTTACTTGAAAAACATTTCCCAGTAAAATATACTTTTTTTTAAATAAAAATACAGTGTCTCATTCTGTCCCCCAGCTTGGCAGGCTGGAGTGCAGTGGCCTGATCATACCTCACTGCAGCCTCAAACTCCTGGACTCAAATAATCCTCCTGCCTCAGCCTCCCCTAATTAGGACTGCAGGCACATGGTGTATGCCAATAAGCCTGGCTAATTTTTTAAAAAATTTTTTGTAGAGACAGGGTCTCATTATGTTGCCTAGGCTGGTCTCGAATACCTGGCCTCAAACAGTATTCCCACATTAGTCTCTCACAGTGCTGGGATTACAGGTGTGAGCCACTGCACCCAGCCAAAAATATATGCTTTTAAGATGTCTGGATTTCTCCCTATAGAGGTTTTTCACCTCCTTAGTTAAATATATTCCTGGGTATTTTATTTTCTTTGTTGCTATTGTAAAAAGTATGGAATCTTGATTTGTTCTCACCTTAACTGTTGTTGGTGTATAGGAATTCTGCTGATTTGTGGACATTGATTTTGTAACCTGAAACTCTGATGAGTTTATCAATTCCAGTAGTATCTTGGCAGAATCTAGGTATAAGATCATATTATCAGCAAAGAGCAATAGTTCGACCTCTTTTGCCCCCATTCATACAGCCTTGATTTCCTTCTCTTGTCTGGCTAGGATTTCCAGCACTATGTTAAATAGAAGTGGTGATAGAGGGCAACCTTGTCTGGTTCCAGTTCTAAGCAGGAATGTTTTCAATTTCTCTCTGTTCAGTATGATGTTGGGTGTGGGTTTGTCATATATGGCTTTTATCATTTTGAGGTTAAGTCCTGATCAGTAGAATCAACATTGTTAAAATGTCTGTACTACCCAAAGTGATCTACAGATTCAGTATAATAACTACTAAAATACCAACATCATTTTTCTCAGATCTAGAAAAAAATAATTCTATGCTTTGTATGGAACCAGAGAAGACCCCGTATAGCCAAAGCAACCCTAAGCAAAAAGAACATACTGGGAGGAATCAATTTATCAGACTTCAAGCTATACTACGAGGCTATAGTAACCAAAACAGCATGATATTGGTGCAAGAACAGAGACATAGACCAAAGGATCAGGACAGGGAACCTAAATATAAAATCATCCTCATATAGGCATCCAATCTTTGACAAAGTAGACAAAAACATACACTGGAGAAAAGAATCCCTATTTAGTTCATGGTGCTGGGAAAATTGGATAGCCACATGTAGAAGACTGAAACAGGATCTGCATCTCTAACCACTCACAAAAATCAACTCACTATGGATAATGGATTTAAACCTAAGGCATGGAACTTTAAGAATTCTAGAAGAAAATGTTGGAAAAACTCTTATAGACATTGGCCTGGGCAAGACATTTATGAAAAAGACCCCAAAGGAATCATCAAAAATAAGTAAATGGGACCTGATGAAATTAAAAAGCTTCTACATAGCCAAGGAAATAATCATTAGAGTGAATAGACAGCCTACAGAATGGGGAAAATATTTGCATGCTATATATCTGATAAAGGGCTGATAACTAGAATCTATACATAACTCAGTCATATCAGCAAGAAAAAAATTTAACAACTCCTTTAAAAAGTAGGCAAAGACATGAATAGAAACTTTTCAAAAGAAGGTAGACTAATGGCCAAGAAACATAAAAAAATGTTCAACTTCTCTAATCATCAGTGAAATGCAAATCAAAATCACAATGAGATACCACTTAACTCTAGTGAGAATGGCTCTTATCAAAAAGTCCCAAAATTACAGATGCTGGTGTGGATGCAGAGAGATAGAAACACTTACACACTACTGGTAGGATTGCAAACTAGTACAACCTCTATGAAAAGTAGTATGGGGATACCTCAAAGAACTAAAAGTGGAACTACCATGTGATCCAGGAATCTCACTGTTGGGTATTTATCCAAAGGAAAAAAAGACATTAAATTAGAACTCACCATTAAATTGGAACTAATCAATTAACACTTATTTGCACATATAGAAATAACGTTCATCGGAAATCAAGCAGGTGGGAGGGAGAGGAGGGGATACGTAAATTCACACCTAACATGTACAGTGCACAATATCTAAGGGATGACCACACCTATAAATTTAACCTCAGACGGTACAAGCAGAATTCAGGTAAACAAACGTTTGTACCCCAGTAATAAAATTAAAAAAAAAAGATATCTGGAGTCTTGTAAAGTTTTTCATAGAATGAAGTAAGTTTTCTTAGACACTTAATATTTTAGGGAAAAATGGGGACATTTAGCTGTTATCTAATTTAATCATGAATATTGCTTCTGTTTTGTTACGTTGCTTGGTTATATAGACCAGATTAGATAGTAGGTTGAGAAGCCCTTAGTATGAAATCAGTTTAAGGTTTATATTGAAATGTCTAAGTTTTTCCTCTCTTAGTTAAATGAAGTAAGTGAAGAAAACAGGAAGATGGAGATTCAGGCTAAAAGAGTTCAAGCTCGTTTAGATAATTTACAGGTAAGTTACCTGCTCTTCCCGAAATACAAGTGAATTTTAAAATGATTGCATTTGGATTTACTCACTTTTGATACAATTGGTCTTTAATTCATGGATATGTACTGTTGCAGAGGAAGTATGAATTTATGACAATACAGAGATTGAAAGGAAATTCCCATGCTGCTCAGGAAGTAAAAAATTTAAAACAAGAAAAAGTACCAGTTTCAAAAAGTTCCAAGGTATGATATGATTGGAATTTCTCCAGTGGAAAGCCAAGAAAATTTCTTTTGTTCTCTATTCTTTTTTTTCTGTCATTTAGCAAACGTTCTTTTTGGCATGAAAGGATTCACCATAAATTCTTTTACTGGGAAATATTTTTAGAATATTTAAGGGGTACTTTTATTTGCAAAAACAAAACTGTCAGCAGTGTTCAATTACACTAACACTGACAAATCTCAACAACGTAAGGATAGCAACAGCTTTATTGATTGGTATATTTTGAAACTCCACAAATATTTGATGTTATTTTTCTGAATTCTGCAACCCATCCCTGAATGGACTCTATGTATTTTTTTTCTCCCTGATAATTTTCCTAACTTGAGGTATAAATTAATACAGTAACATGATAAATCCTTATGTGTAAAGTTTGATCAGTTGACAAATGCTTATGCTCAGGTAACCTACAACCAGATATAGAGCATTTCCATTACCATAGAAAGTTTCCTTGTCCCCTTCCTGGTCATTCTTTCCTCCAGAAGGAACTGTTGATCTGATTTCTGCCACCATAAATTAGTTTTGCCTATTTTATAACTTTCGTCAATGGAATTATATAGTTTATAATCATTTGTGTAAGATATCTTTTTCCCAACGTAATGCTGGATGTTTTAGTAGTTTGTATTACTCAGTAGCATTCCATTGTATGAATATATCACACTTTGTTTATTCCTTCTTCTGTTGGCATACTTCTGGACTGTTTCTAGTTTTTGTCTGTTATGTATAAAGTTGCTACAAATATTTATATACAGGGTCTTTGTGGATATACATTTTCATTTCTCTTAGATATATACCAGAACTGCAATTTCTGGGTCGTAAGGTAGATAGATGTGTGTTTTGAGAAACTGCCAGTTTTTAAAAGTGTACTATTTTGTACTCCTGCTAACAGTGTATAAAAGTTCTGGTTGCTCTACAACCTTGTCAGCATTTGGTGTTTTCAGTCTTTGTCATTTTGACCCTTCTAATGGGTATGCAGTGTTATCTTATTGTGGGCTTTAATCATTTTGATACATTTTCTCGTTCTTTATATAAAGTAAATTGGAAAAGGTGGAGATTTTATACCCAGATACTGATGATTTATTTTCAATCATCTGATTCTGTTTTTGTGGATTGCTATCTTCTTAATATTGTCTCTTTTTAATTTGCTTTTTCATTTCTCTGTCTTTTCAGGTTTTTTAAAAACCAGTTAAATATAGCATAGTTCCCTACTTAAAGGAAGCTTGTGTTTTGAAGAAATACTAAAATCAGTCTAATTTAATCTATAAATTAGATTATTTGAGGCATCTTTTTCTTCTTATACTTTTGCCTTTCATTTTCGTAGGATCTGAGAAAATAGAATTTCCAGGAAAAAAAATTCATATTATGTTCATATAATGTTATACTGTAAAAGCAAAAAAATGACAACTTTTGCTGTTGGAAAATATGATGTTCCATAGTGGAAATTCTTTAGCTTTGGAAATCTTTAAATATTTTAGAATCTTTTCATTATAGTGGTTCATGCTCTTGAGTTAAGGCTAATTTTACTTTTGGATAAAAAACTTGTTGTTTTTTTTAGAGACAGGGTCTTGCTTAGTGACCAGGCTGGAGTGTAGTGGCCTGATCATAGCATTATAACCTCAAATTCTTGGGCTCAAGTGATCCTCCTGAGTTGCTGGGACTGCAAGCATGTACTGCTACGCTAATATTTTTTACCATTTGTAGAGATGAGGTCTTACTATGTTGCCCAGGCTGGTCTTGAACTCTTGGCCTTCAGCATTTCTCCTGCCTCAGCCTCCCAAAGTTCTGGGGTTATAGATGTGAACTACCGTGCCTGGCCTTTGGATAAAGAACTTTTATGAAAAGTTTTAATTTTAGTAATAAGATGCAGTTCTTACCATTTCCTTATTATGATAGGTTTTCCTGCCTTTTCTCGGCATTTAGCATGTTTTTAATATTAATTAGGGATGTTTGACTTGGAATTTCTTTTGTTTGTTTGGAGAAGCTCTGTCCTTATGCATATATTTTAAGGAAGCACTTTAGGTAAATTTTTCTATAATCATTTACCAAATTTAAGGCTTGCCTTTGAAGTTTCATCAAGTTGTGAACTAGAATAAATGATTTAATTTTTAATGTATAGGTACCACTTAATGGACAAGCTTATGAACTTTTAACTGTCTTCATGGATTGGATTTCGGATCATCATCTTAGCAAAGTGAAACATGAAGAATCTGGAACGGATAGTGAAAAGCCTCTACTCACATCTGCTTCTCAGAGAAATGATATTCAAGAAAAATGTGTAAAGGTTTGTTTTTTTAATTTGAAATACATGACTCAGAAGATATGAAAATTATAAAAAGGAAAAGCCTGTGGTATATTTTACAAGTGAAAAATTATTTGAAAGTATTTAAAAAATTTTTTTTTTAATTTCAGCACATTATGGGGGTACAAATGTTAAAGTTATGTATATTGCCCATGCCCCCTTCCCCTTGGGTCATTGAAAGTATTTTTGACAGAAAATTGATCATACACATAACTCAGTTTTGAAAAGATTCATTTCAGACTTAATTAAAATTAATTTATACTTTTATTTTTCTTAATGTGATGGGAATTTTTAAAGTACTACTTTTTAAAAATGGAGACCAAACATTTAAAATATATGGTTGTCCTTCAGTATCTGTGTGGGATTGGTTCTAGGACTTCCCATGGCTATTAAAATCCTTCAAATCTCTGATACCAAATGGAATAGTGTTTGCCTATAACCTATTCACATACTCCTGTATACTTGAAATCATCTCTAGATTACTTATAATACCTAATACTATGTAATTGCTATGTAAATAGTTATAATACTCTATTGTTTAGAATAATGACAAGGAACAAAATTCTGTACATATTCAGTACAGAACCAATTTTTTAAAAAAATATTCTCTCTCTGTCTGTGGTTGATTGAATCCATAGGTATGGATCCCTTGGATATGGAGGACTGATTATACTCCAGAATGCTGAAATAATTGTATATTAGATTAAACAAATAATCAGTGAGGTGAACAATTTATCCTGCACATGCTTTTAGGATTCAAAACCCACTAGAATAATTTTTCATTTGTCTTCTTGCATTAAGGGGCAAAAAGTCTGTTTTCAGGGAACTAATCATTAACAACAAGAAATGAATGGTTAAATTACAGACATTAATTTGAATATTGTCACTCATTATTTCTAATTAGTATAAAAGGTCTTTAGAGATTGACAGTTATATTCCATAAGAAATACATGAAACTTTGAACAGTAGACATCTAAAGTTTTTGTTTGTCTGTTTTAACATATTTTCAGGATTTTAACTTCATGATTATTAAATACAGGCTAGGGTTTTGTTTTGGTAAATTATTTTTAGTTTTCATCCTTATCTGCAAAGTTTCTTGTAAATGTCTTTTGTGTTAGGGAGAATAATGGCCCCAAAGATATTCACACCTTAATCCCTGGAACCTGTCAATATGTTATGTTACATGGTGTCTTAGTCTGTTTTCTGTTGCTTATAACAGAATGGCTGAAACTGGGTAATTTATAAGGAAAAGGAATTTATTTCTTATGGTTATAGAGGCTAAGTCCAAAGTTTGAGAGCCCACTTTTGGTGAGGGCCTTCTTATTGGTTGGAACTCTCTGTAGAGTCCAAAGGCAGCACAGAGTATCACGTGGTAAGAAGGTTGAATGTGCTAGCTCGGGTTCTCTTCCCCTTCGAATGCTACGAATCCCATTCTTATGATAATCTATTAATCCATAAATGGATTAATCCATTAATGAAGTCTTAGCCCTCAAGACCCAATCATCGTATAAAGGCCCCACCTGTCACTACTACCACATTGGGGATTACGTTGCAAGATGAGTTTTGTAGGCAACAAACATTCCAACCATAGCATGTGGCAAAAAGGAATTAAAGCTGCTAATCAGCTAACCTTAAAATAGATTATTTAGGTGGCCCTAGTAATCATGTAAGCTCTTTAAGCCAGAAGAAGTCAGAAGAGTAGGTCTGAGATTCAGCCCATTGTTGCTGACTTTGAAGATGGACAAAGAAGGCCAGGAGTCATGGAATTTTGGTGCTTCTAGAAGCTGGGAATTGCCTTCAGTTGACAGATAGCATGGAAATAGAGATCTCAGTCCTATAACCACATTAAACTGAATTCTGCCAGCAACTTGAATGAACAAGGAAATGGATCTTCCCCTAGTCTCTAGAAAGGAACATAGCTCTGTAGACACCTTAATTTTGGCTGGCTGAGGCCCATCTCGGACTTGTGACCCACAAAACTGCAAAGTAATAAATTCGTGTTATTTAAATATTAAGTTTATGTTAGTTTGTTATGGCAGCAGTAGGAAACAGATACACCTTTGTTTAGAATTCTGTCTTTTTTGGTACATACATCAACTATTCTCCTGTCCAAATCTAGCTTTACCCTAGAAGCTTCTAAATAGGAGGGCCTATAGTATTAATATTAAAGTTATGGAGAGAAATTCCATTTGTTGGAACTAAATGAAGAAGGACAGTTCTAAGACATTAAGGCTAACAATTGACAATTTTAAAGAGGAGAATATAAATCATATAAGACTCTGCTTTTATATCAGCCTAATGGCATAAGAGAAGAATATTTAGCACATGTATGGCTCAGGATTCATTTTGTCATCTTTATATAAAGATAGTCATCTACTGGCTTATTTGGGATACACAATTTTTGCTGAGCAAAAATTGCTTTTAAATTAAATTGCCTTTTAATTAAAATATTATTTTCAATTTATGGCTACTAACATATTATGATAATAAAGGTAGACCAAATGTAAAGCTTATGAATAGTCTTTTTAATAGGAAAAGAGAAGGGTAAATAGTACCACATTAACGAATAAGTTAGTTGAATACTTGTGGCCAACACAAGCAAGTATTCACATCTCTTTAGGGAGATGTACAATTTGTAATTTTAAAATAGTGTAACTTTTTTTTTAACTTTTTGGCATATGAGTAAGAGCATTATTCTGTTAAATTACCTTGGCTAGCATTATATTTATTCTAAGAATACTAGTGTAACTCAATATATTTGCAAAATAATCTTTTACAAAATTATCTTTGAAAGCTTCTGACATATTTTGTTTTTTTATTACTGCCATAACCCATTATCATCTGAGGATGAGGTTAATATTTAAAAACACAAAAAGCCATTGTACTAATAAATCTAGTACATAGGGTATACCTTACAAGACTGATTTTCTTTTGTGATTCAAAAGCATATAGGTGGAATATTGTCAAAGAAATTGAGGAAAGAATAATTCAGTACAACTTGATGTGGAATCTACTAAGATGTTATAACTAATGATTATAAAAATATGGCTATAGGACTAATATTACCAATATTTGGACTAGGAAGCACCAGTCTAATGAAACTAATGAATTAGAAAAATGTATTTAAGAAGTGGGTGTGGTAGTACGTGCCTATAGACCCAGCTACTCAGGAGACTAAGGTGGGAGAATCAGTTGAGCCCAGGAGTTTAAGTACAGCTTGGGAAACATAGTAAGACTCTGTCTCTAATAAATAAATAAATCAATAATGTCATGGCCCAATTGCAGGACAGGAGATGAACACATAAAGACATAGACATAAAATGTAGACAAAAAAGAATTGGTTGCAGTCTCAGAAAAAAAAAAAAAGCACACAGATACAAAGACAGTTCAAGACTGCAGCGCTTAAAGCACCAGTCGTTTTATTTTTATACTGTTTAATTGGGCAAGTGTCCTGCAGCTATTTTCTCATGCCAGCTATTTTCCCAGCTACTTTCTGGTACGTGACTTCCCATGGCCAACAGCACCTGTTCCTCTAGACATAGCACAAAAGATGCCCTTCAACGTTTGATACCGTTTGCGGATAACAAGACACCTGGCTTGGTTGCATAGCACAAGAGAAGATGTTTACATTCTCTCTTCTACCATCTGGTACCGCGTGTGGATAACAGACAACCTTGGCTTGCGTGCGAAACCACAGGTCCTTGCCTGTCTGCAACGTCTGGTCCCGCGTGCAGGATAACAGACAACCTTGGCTCGCATGCGAAACCACAGGTCCTTGGCCATTTGCCCGAAGGAACAGTTCTCTCTGCTGGTCAACAAGTCACATCCTGCTAATTGTGGGAACAAGCAATGTGCTCCCATTCTGCTGACTTTGAGTCTCGGCCAATCTGACCCAGGGATGTCTCCTTCAAATAAGGATTTAAATCAACAACCTAAGAGCTGTTTCTTTGAAAAAAATCAACAAAATGGATAAACCACTAGCTAAGGAGAAAAAAGAGAGAAGACTGAAATAACTCAAATTGAAAAAGAAAGTAGTGATGTTACAACCAGTGCCACAGAAATGTAAAGGATTATAAGACAACACTATGAACAATTGTATGCCAACAAAAATTGGATAACGTGGCAGAAATGGATAAATTTCTGTAAAAACATAACCTTCTAAGGCTGAATCATGAAAAAATTGAAAATCTGAACAGACTATTAATTGGTAAGGAGATTGAATCAACAAACCTCCTAACCATGAAAGCCAAGGACCAGATACTTCACTGCAAGAATTCAATGAAATATTTAATGAAGAAGTAATGCCAATCCTTATACTCCTCCCAAAAAGGGAAGAGGAGGCAAACTTTTAAACTCATTCTCTGGCCAACATTACCCTGATACCAAAGCCACACAAAGACACTATAGAAAAACTACAGACCAATAACTCAGTAAATATTGATGCAAAAATCTTCAACAAAATACTAGCAAACTGAATGCAACAATACAGTCATGTGTCAGTTAATGATGGTGTTACAGTCTGAGAAATGTGTCTTTAGGCAATTTTGTTGTGCAAACATCATTAGAGTATACTTACCCAAACCTAGATGGTATAGCCTACTACATACCTAGGCTATATGGTATAGCCTATTGCTCCTAGGCTACAAACCTGTACAGCATGTTAATTGTACTGAATACTGTAGGCAATTATAAAAAAAAATGGTAGGTATTTACTTACTAAACATAATCTAAACATAGAAAACATATAGTCAAAATACAGGGTAAAAAATAAAAAATGGTATACCTGTAGAGGGCATGTGCCATGAGTGGAGCTTACAGTACTGGAAATTGCTCTGGGTGAGTCACTGTGTGGTGAGTAGATGGGAGGGCCTAGGACATTACTGTACCTTACTGGAAACTTTATGAACACTGTACATTTAGACTATACTGAATTTATAAAAAGAATTTTCTTTTTTCAGTCATAAATTAACCTTAGCTTACTG